TAAATAAAAAATTCAAGGCATCCTATAGTCCACAATTACATTGCAGCAAATAAAGGTTTTTTTGAGAATCATTATTTCGCCATACGAAAACTAATACACCCACAATATAATATTTGGTAGTAATGCCCTAGGGCAGGTCTGTGACTTGGGTTAAACTTTTAACTCAATTCAGGGAATAATAGTGTCAACGTTTTGGAACTATGTACGGCTATAGTTTCTTCAGCTCTTCAGTTCATTCTTCTGGTGAACTTTAGACACATGGAATCAGGATACAAGATTTTTTGGTATTAAATTGAATTTTAACTAGCTGTAAGTGGAATTCTGTCTTAAGGCAATTAGGGCATTGTGCCTTAAGGCAAATTGCTGGAACTTTCCGTACCGCAATTCACAATTCGAGTAATTAAAAATAATCAATTTTAATAATCAATAAAAGTTGATCAATTATTTGAAACTTTTAATAGAATTTCGAACCATATTAAATCATTCTATCTTAAATCATTTATTTTGAAATATTTTGGTAATTCTGAACTATTTTTCAAAGCAATCGTACTGCTTTAACTGCATAAAGATGAAATATCAAAGCGCGAAAGCGCCGCGTCGCCGTCTAACGCGTAAACATTGGAACGGAACCCATAGGAATGTAAACAAAATTTATACTTATTGTTAAAATCTCTATAAAATATCTGATAATTTGATGTGCATATGTCTAATGTTCATTTTTGACCGCCAAATGGCTAATTTTTTTACTTTTTCCTCCATATCTCCAAAGTCGTTGGACTTGCCTCTCCAAAAATTTGAACAGTTCTTCATATAGCCATTACAAATAAAATGTTTTTTGAATTACCGTTTTCGGCACTTTTTGCCCCGTATCTTCGGAACGGCTAGACCTGCCTTCGCCAAAAACTAATCAGCACGTCTCCTTATCACTAAGAAACGAATGTTTTTTGAATTATTCAAATCGGTTGGTCTGTGTTTTCGAAATCGTTGACGAAAATTTGTATCCGAACATACATACATACACGCACACACACACACACATACATTTTCTAAAGTATGCCAAAATGTTCAGAAGGTTTTGAAACGTAAAGATCTATAAAAAATTTCATTTTCGATTACTATAACTTGCCCTACGGGAAATTAATTATGTACTTTTATTTGTCTTTGTGTTCACACATTAATGATATGAAATCGTATTAGGAGACGCATGAGAAAAGACATGTTCGCAAGAAATTTTTTTATCTGATGCTATGTTTTAATTTTTATTGATGTAAGACCTTATTAATAAGGATCGAATCTTATATAATATATTAACATCAAGTTTAAGATTTTTTATTAAATATAATGTTATATACATATATATATATATATATATATATATATATTAAATATATTGTTATATAACTCTTTGTAGGGTGGGTTGCAGTAATCGCTAAGAAATTGTTTCAAAGGTTCCTGAACATTTTGGCATACTTAAGGAAAAATGGATGTATGTGTGTGTGGATACAATATTTCATCCACAATTTCGGTAGCACGTGTCAACCGATTTGAATAATTCAAAGATCATTCGATTCTTCTTGATAAGGAGATGTGCTGATTAGGGTAAAAAGGAAGTACAAAAAATGTCAATTTCAGAAATCGGCATTCGATTAGGATGATACAAAAAACATTTTACTTGTTACTTATTTTTTTTGTATTGATGAAATGCCTTTAGGAAATGCACTTCAGGGGTTTCGGAGATACAGAGGAAAAAGTTTTGTGGTCAAATACATATGCGAATCAAATTATCAAATTGTTATAGATGTTTATGATATGCATAACACCAAAAAATTCAAATTTTAATTTTGTTTTACAACTTGAAATGAATAATTTCAACTTATTAATTCAAATGTTTGTATTTTGTTCTGATCAATTCTTAGAAATATGAGATGATGTCGTCACATGCCTAATTGGATACGACTTTTGTTTATGCTCTTATGTTTAATTTTTTTGTAAGCATACAATATACAATAGACAATATACAATATGTTTGTACACTTTTATTAGTGCACTTATATTTAACGTATACAAAATATGAACAATAAAGTTTACATATTTATAATAATTTTTTCATAATATAATAATAGAAATTTGAAAAAAATATTTAAAATATTATCAATTACTGATTAATTTTTATTAATTGATTGATGATGTTTGAATTTAATTTGATTATGTTTATTCTTCTGATGATTAATTACGGTATGGGAAGTTCTAGCAATTTGCCTTAAGCTCTTGTTATTATTTTGCAGTTATATAAATATGTTTATTTTATCAAAAATATATGAATTATCACTAGCCCTTTGTCTGTTACATTACAAATATCTCATCTCGGCGTGGGTGTATGGATTGTGGCTAGTTATCATGCAGAGTGTATGCACCGGAGCTTGATTTATAAAGCTTTCGATATAGATACAGCTCTACTTAGTCAGAGGCCGTGTGCGGTCTTAACACGAGTACGATTTCCTCCCAAACAAAAGCCGCCACTAACGGCTGCATAAATCATGCGCGTATCTCGCCTGGTCGCCTGCCTGCCTGCCAGGCGGCTTGATACTCTTCACGTAATGGCCGCGTCCCGCGTCCCGCACTCGCCGAGCCGACAGCTACCGCATTGTCCCGCCGGGTTGGCGGGTGTGGGACAAGTCCGTCCGTCGGCCGATTGAAATTGTAAATAAGGAGGGCCCGTCGTCAATAGTCCGAGCCGTCACAATGGAACGGGATCGATCACCTTACGACACAGTCCATTTCGTCCATTTCGTCGTGATTGAAGAGAAACTATCACGGGCGTCGTTAAATGACCACTACACGGTTCGGATTAGGGATGTCGAGAATATACGATTTTATCATTTTAAATATTATATATATATATATATATATATATATATATATATATATTCAATATATAAGTCCTGGATTTTTTTCAATATATTGATTGTTTCCTTTTCGAACAGTAAATCCAATAATAAAAAACAATTTGTTTTTTGAAGATGTTTAATAACGACGTTTCGGAACTAGGTACGTTCCATCATCAGGTTTATTCTGTCAAATACAATGTTTTTTAAAAATATTGATTAACATTATTTAATGATGGTCAATACAGATTAATTAGAAAAAATTTTATAAAGGAATGGATTATGTACCGGGGTGAAGAGTAATAAGAATTAACTAAAAAAGGTTTTATATAAAATTGACAAGCAAAAATTATTTACCTGTAATAATTTATATATCCATATCACTAATATTTTTTTTGTTAAAAACACTCGATTTTTTGGAGGATATTTGTAGATGTTACGACTACACAAGACTTAAACACACTGATATGGAGTTCTGTCGGCCAGATGTAAGGAACAATGTACGGAATTCTTGGCAAAAATGATTTTTATGGCTCTTTACAAAAAAATATTAGTGATATGAATATAAAATTATTACAGGTAAATAATTTTTGCTTCTCAATTTTAATAAAACCTTTTTTAGTTAATTCTTATTACTCTTTACCCCGGTACATAATCCATTCCTTTATAAATTTTTTTTCTAATTAATCTGTATTGACCATCATTAATTAATGTTAATCAATATTTTTAAAAAACATTGTATTTGACAGAAAACCTGATGATGGAACGTACCTAGTTCCGAAACGTCGTTATTAAACATCTTGAAAAAACAAATTGTTTTTTATTATTGGATTTACTGTTCGGAAAAAGAAACAATCAATGTATATATATATATATATATATATATATATATATATATATATATATATGTGTGTGTGTGTGTATGTATGTATATATAGAGTAGAGCGGGGTTTAAAGGTCCGCGGATGAAAAGATCCACTACACCACAACCGATATTTCAAAACAAGTAAAGTTGAAAAAAAATATCAGAAATATTTGAAAGTAGATGGCAAAAGATGTATAACCTGTCATCACCTTGATTCTTACGATATTGCTATCGGAGAAAAAACGTCAATGTTTAAAAATCCATAACAAAGGTATTTTCTTGCGTTGTTATTTGTTCTGATTGTGAGCTCTGTTCCTTAGTTTCCCAGATCTTAAAATATTTTTTAACTGTACGTCATTTAATTGTTTTATAAGATGTATTGTTAATTTTAGATTAGATTTAACTAAACTTCACCTATGTTTAGGAAGATGTAAAAAATAAAAAGTAGCAAATAAAAAATTAATTTAAGTTAAAACAAGCAATTACCAAGAGAAAAATTAATAAATAGTTCCAACTCTGCTGATAAAATATTTTTGACGAAATACCAGATCAATGTTAATTGCAACGTTATCTCTGTAAAAAATGTACCCATAAAATTTATATTTTTCATTGGTTAAATAATCTATGTGTTATTTTGTAAAAACCCTTCTAAATTAAAATAAAACATTTGGCCTGTCTGCCTCCTGGCCGTCCCGATATAATTGACAATTGATATAATTGTAGATTTTCATAATATAATTGCTCAAAGTCATATTGGATCTTTGTGCGCCGCCGTACTCCATGTAGTTTGCCTCCAGCCATAACGGCATACACCACTAGTTTCGTACTGTGTTTAGTAATGTCATCGATTCACGTTTCGTGTATAGCCTCAAGGGGAGTGCATTGCTTACGCGCGCATCTTTCTCTCCGACTTCGATGGACATCGGCAATAAAGAGACCCCCCGAAATTCGCGTGATCGCCCGATCTGTTGTCTATTCGGCGGCTATTGTGAAAATCCACTCCTAAGTTTCTCGTTCTTCGTTCACCGTTCGTATCCTGATTTGTCTGAGGGGGCGTTCGATTTTAGGTGTGGGCGATTGCATATGTATCTGACGATGGTCCGTGACAAACTGAGCTCATTCAGATAAAGCCGGACTATTATGTGGCTTATCGACGATAAACGCAATGGACGACCGTTTCTTTGTATTTTATCTGTATAAGGTGTCACGATTTTTGTTCTGATAAAATATTTCCTTTTGTTGCAGGATGATGGAATAATGGATCATGCGTTAGATGGTGACGGAGCCATTAACTTGTCCACTTCCCAGCGACCATCAGCGTCGACCACGCCGTCGACAGGCCCCGATTGCGAGTCTTACGACCAGGTAAGGAGCCCTTATTGCAATTAAACATACGCCCAAAATCGATTCGTCATGCTATAATACTAAAAAGTTCGTTGCGAAATGCAAATCTTTTAGAAATAGATTACCGACTGTCATTTCCAATCAGGCATCTTCGGTGCCCCCCTTGAGCGCCCTCAAGTCTATGTCGATTTTTTCTCTTAATTGAAAGAGTTTCGAGCAGCAGATGGCGTCGATATAAAAGAAGCAAAAACAATCTTTGTGTTTTGCTGTCTTTCTGCATGTTACGTTTGTTATTCGGAAAGAATAAATTTCGAATGCTCTGATCTGACGAAGCCGTGGTGTCGGCGGCTGTAGCGGGGGCGACGGAATTTGTGTGGGGTGGAAGTTTTGTCATATTTTCTCGACTTCTTTCGCTTGGCGCGGTACTAAGTTTTAACAGAACTTTTCATAATGATAGATGTGTTTGATGAACTTTTCTCTTCTCTCATTTCCGCGGATAAATTAAGACATTTGCACGCTGTTATAATTAGAAATGAAGCTAATTATGCGTTCTTTGCGTTTTTTCGTGCTCTTTTTGTCGCGAGTTTGGCTTTAATTAACGCGAGTTTAGTGACAAATGGCAGGTTTGCGCGATTTACTGTAAGTCAAGCGTAGGGTAACGGTATTGCTTTTTCCTCACCCTCCAATTCTCGTTCCCGTCACCGGCGGTGCACTCCGATACGACCGACTAATGTACCTACCGCCGGCTGTGACAATTGCGGTCGTGCCTAAGAAAATAATAGCGTCGATATGCTCTTTCGGTCCTTGTTTGTGTTCGGGAGAACGGCCGCGGTCTTCTTCGGAGCGTTTTGTGTCTACGTCCAGTGTCGCATGTTGTGTGCGCATTTACTGATACCGTCCAAATTGAATTGGGGCCTTGTCCGGTCTGTTTAGATTCCTGGTCGGTTGTTTAGTTTGCCCTAACAAAGAAAACAGGCACTTGTTTATTCTGCTTGAAATAGCAGGCAGTCGGTCGATCGCCTCCACCTCGAGATATCCGAGCGAGGCGACGGGGACGCCCGCGATGCGCGATCGTCGGGGTCGGGGGCGCGCGGTGGCCGCAGCTCAGCGCCGCACTCGCCGCGCTCGCCGCACTGCGCGCGTTCGTTCACACATCGATGGATTCCTTTTGGAACAACACTTTTAAAACGATTTATGTCTTGTGCCTTTGTTCCAAACTGCTGCGGATAAATAGTTCCAGCGTCGCGTCGCAACGAGAAATTCCACCGTCCGCCGGGTGATTCATCTTTACTCTTGTTAGGGTTCTACAGCCAGATATTTTCTGCGATCCATTGCCTACATGACCAACTCAACATCACACTTGTATTAGAACGGAACCATCGATAATTTCTCTGTAAAATATAAACTAGTTACAAAATTTAATTTTTCGTATTTTCATATGGTTCATTGATTATCTACTTAATAAAATAATATACAAACATATTAATAAGTTCATAAATAAATAAATAAAATGATCCAATATATAAGTGTTCAAGTGAATATACTTAAAAATCGATGAGAAAATAAATTAATAAATGTATATCAATAGATAATTCAATAAATGAAAAAAATATATTATCAAATGAATTAACTTTTAGATAAATGAGTAAGGAAATGAATAAATAATCAATAAATAAATATTAAATTCATCAATAAATCATTGAAAAAGTCAATAATTCAGTAAATGAATAATTAAAATAAAACAAATAATTAATGGTAGTTATTTTGATTATACTCGTATATACAGTTATAAGGCTTTATGGAGTTTTTATCTACTCACACTGCTTATTTTTTGTTATGTATACAAATTATATTTTAATTAACTATTATAACTCGATGAATAACTAAGCAGGATGCTTGAATTTTAATCAGGTCCACCCTATTTTTTCTTCTAATTTCTGCACACTTTTACGTCTTTATTTGCATATTTTCGGCTGCGGTATGGTTTTATGTTCTATTTTATAACTTGGCAGATTTTTATAAGTCGGAAGTACTTAATGTTGTAGAAGAAATGCATAATTGCAACAAATATATATAATATATAATATATATATATATATATATATATATATATTCATGAAAATTTAATCGAAACGGGGGAAAATTTTACTTATCTTCTCCCAAAGAATGTTGTTTTTGCAATAGGGCGTTTTTGTTGCAGGTCATCCTCGGTTAATTTGTTCGTAAATTCGATTGTCATATCCAAGAAAATAACTTGAAATGTCATTGACTAAATGACACAGGAAAATATAACAATTAAGCTTTTTCTAGAAATTTTCACCAATATTTAATATCTGTCCAGGTTTAGTTTAAATTCAGTTCTCTGGATTTTCCATATTTTTACAAAAATTTGTTCACATTCATCAATTTTATTAAAAAAACAATTTTTTCATGTTTAATTATAATTAAGTGTATAAATATCGCAGGATTTAGTAAGGTTTATGCTATTTCTTAATATATTATATTATTCGATTCTATAAACACTTAACATATTTAGTTAATATTAGACTCAATGTTTAAATGTTGCTGAAGACACGATAAATACATAAATGGGTAATAGTATTGGTCATAAGCGTCATGACAAAAATTAGAAAAAAAATATCTCACGTAGTTGCAAAATTATGAGTTTTTGAGGGCAACCTAGAGTTTTAGTGAAAATGTAACCATTTTTTGTGTTTTGTGATGGATAGATCCGTAATTATAAATAACATTTCTAGGACCACAATAAAAAATAAAAACATAATTATCCCGAGTTTTCAAGAAATAAAAGTTTTTTTTAAACCATGAATTTAAAATGTTTAAAATTGGTGAACTTGAAAAGGTTTTTTTTTTAAATGTTAATCAGGATTGCAAATTGATAAAATACTTGATAGTACCGTAATAAAAAAATCGAGTAAAATAAAAACTTAGTGCTTTTTACTCGCTATCAGTTCAAATATTTATCGTACGCGAAAGCTCAAATTTAGGAGGCAAAAAACATTAGATTGTTAGCTGTTATCATGTTATTTTTAGATTTTTATTCTTTTTACTGGATTTCTTTTATTGTGAACTTAATTTAGATTTTTTCTTTTTCCTAATTATATAGATGGATTCGTAAATACGAACTTTTTTGTTATATATACTATCATATACGTTTCAACATTTGAAATAGTGCAAGAAGTGCAAGAATTTACTAATAGAATAAATGAATTTACTAATAGAATAAAGTGCAATGATATTCTAGCTTATTATTTTCGGAAGAGTCCTAAATAAGAAAAATACAAACAACTAACGACAGTTTCTTGAAAATTTCAGGAGCTAAAAGGCAAAGAATGGAGTAGTTTTACTCTTTTGGATAAAGGGTTGGGCGGGGCGCAAAAGTTTGATTCAATTTTGAGCAATTATATTGGGTAAACCAAACTAATTTTATCACAACAAATAACACATACCAAACAAACAACTATCCGACTATGTTCCGTAAAACTCCCAACTAATTCATCATTATTGAAATGTGTTTTTTGCTGCTTTTTTAAATTGTTTCTCGGCCCTTTCTACCCCATAGGCGGGGTAACATCAGATGACCAAGGGAAAAACTGATCCAATGTCTCATTTTTTAATTTTAAAGAAATTTTACCAAAGTTTTAATTTTACCAAATAATAGCTATATTATTCAACCAATGCAAAATATAAATTTCAAGGGTACATTTTTACAAAAATAACTCTGCAAATAATTTTGATCTGATACTTGTCAGAATTATTCATCAGAAGAGTTGGAATAACTATTTACTTAACTTATTTATTGTAAGGTTGCTTCTTTTAACTTATCTTTTACTATTTTTTATTGTTCACACCTTTGCCATGGTAGAAGTTCAGTTTGTTCTTTTTACCCCACCCAAGTGTAAGCTTTTATAGAGGTTATATGAGAAAACTGTTGAATCTAACTTAAAATTAACAATACATCAAAATAAAATAATTAAATGACGTATACTTAAAAATTAGATTAAGGACTAGTAAACTTCATAACAGTGCTCATAACAAAAAAAAAAATAAAAATAAAAGAAAATAATTTTGTTATGTATCTTCAAACATATATATATATATATATATATATATATATATATATATATATATATATATATATATATATATATATATATATATACTTTCGAGTATATGTGTTAAACGTATCCCCTTATCTACAGGTAGTCCCGGTCTCGTTTTGATCGTGGGTATTAAACTGCCGCTAAAACGTTTAATAATTCAACGATAAGATTGTAACTTGACGCAAGTATTGCCAAATACATTAAGAAAGCTCCATCTCGCAGAATCTCCTACATCTACTCCTTTCCTTCTCATACTCCTATACTCCTGCTCCTCGTTTCCTACTTCTGCCGTCGGGGCAATTACAAGTTGAATAATTATAACGACTGCGTCTTCTAACTTATGATTTTAGACATATAAAATCGTGAATAGTAATACTGAACTGTTGTCTCACTTGTGTATTTATTTATTATGTTCCTTGTAACTACTGAACTTTGCTAAATTTAATACAATTGAAACACTATTTATTGGATAATTCTATTCATGTACATAAACTTGGGTTATTTTAAGTCCACAATTTCAACTTATGAATGGGTTTATAGTTTAGTCGCTAGAGCTATGGGTTTTGAATCAGAGGTCGTTGGTTCGATACCAGCTTTGAGCAGCCTGATGTCAAGCAGTAGTGACGTGCTTACTTGGAAAGATAAATAAATAGCAATGTGTTTAAAAGATTTATCATTAATGCATAAATTGTAATAATAGAATTAATCACATAGAGATAGGACAACTGTTTGAGTTGCCATCTAAGCAAACTACTATAGTCAGTTTTTATAGAACGATAAGTTTTGATTTTTGTTTAAATCAAGTTTGTTTAAAATAAATATTAATAATAATAATAAAGAAACATCTCTTGAATGAGCACATATCCATGTTTAATAGTGATAACTCACTTGTTAACTTAA